GAGACTTTGATGAAAGTTATGGATCGTTTCCTCAGAAGAATGTACATGCACACGTATCACTTCAGAAGGTATAAAATCCACGAAGCTAACTTCAGGACACACACCTGCCCTCTTTGCCCATTGAGAACCTGGAACTATTTTTTTTTAAGTCTCAGGGAATGTCACATGAACCAGTTTCAGTTTGCTCCCATTGCCATCAGGATAAACCCTAGGACAAGTTATGAAATAGTTTATTTAAAAAAAAAAAAAAAGAGAGAGAGAAATAGTTTATTTTTTATACCTCCTTGTTTCTCCTACATTCATATCCCAGAGTCTTGTCAGCCTTTGGGAAAGGATCTGATAATCAGCATTCATGCTGAGGTGTAAATAACTAAGAAGACCTGGTGTAAATAAACCTCGTTCGGTGGGAAGGCTGTTCAACCCAAAGGTAAATAAACTTCTGCTAAGAAGGAGGTTTATTTACCTTTGGGCTGAACAACCAAGATGAAGCATCATTAGACTTTTAAATGTAGGCAGAATAGGGAAGGCATTTTGCTAAGAGACCTTACCTGTACTCTTGACATTATACCACTTAACTCATAACTCATTTGGTTCTTTCAATGGGGTTTAAGTCCAACACAGAAAAGAGAGAAATTGCCACAACATCTCACTAAAAAGGTTTATCTGTTTTATTTTCTACTAATTTTTATTTGGACTAACCCATTTGAGGTAAATTAGGAAAGTGAAAATGTATTAAATGTTTTCTTTAAGGCAAATAACTTTTTGCTTTATTGGCAGGCACAAGTTCAAGCAGTGGGTTATACCTTGGCACCTAAATAAAAGATACAATAGGAAACGATTCTTTGCCATGCCTTATGTGGACCATTTTCTCAGGTGAGCACAAGTACCCTTAATAAAACATATTATCTTTATACCGGATGACATAAAGAAAGCTTAAGCTTTCTTTAAATTTTAATTTCTGTTATTATGTATTTTTAAAAATAGAAAAGTCAGGCCGGGCGCGGTGGCTCACACCTGTAATCCCAGCATTTTGGGAGGCCGAGGTGGGTGGATCATGAGGTCAGGCGATAGAGACCATCCCAGCTAACACAGTGAAACCCTGTCTCTACTAAATATACAAAAAATTAGCCGGCATGATGGCGGACACCTGTACTCCAGCTACTCGGGAGGCTGAGGCAGGAGAATGGTGTGAACCCAGGAGGCAGAGCTTGCAGGGAGCAGAGATCGTGCCACTGCACTCCAGCCTGGGTGACAGAGTGAAACTCCGTCTCAAAAAAAAAAAGAAAAAAAAAACAGGAAAGTCAGGTAAAAAAGAAAATTGAAGTCACATATAAGCTCACTATCAGAAATAGCCACAGTCAGCCAAGCACGCTGGCTCACACCTATAATCCCAGCACTTTGGGAGGCCACGGCAGGCGGATCAGTTGAGGTCAGGAGTTTGAGACCAGCCTGGCCAACGTGACGAAACCCTGTCTCTACTAAAAATACAAAAATTAGCCGGCCGTGGTAGCATGCGCCATAATCTCAGCTACTTAGGAGGCTGAGGCATGAGAATTGATCGAACCTAGGAGGTGGAGCTTGCAGTGAGCTGAGATTGCACCACTGCACTCCAGCCTGGGCGACAGAGTGAGATTCCGTCTCAAAAAACAGAAAAAAAAAAAAAAAAAGCCACTGTTAACATTATGTATCCTTTGAAAAGTTTTATTGCCTTTCTATTCTTGTATCTATATGTAAATGGAAAAATTTCTACTCTTATGTTAAAATGAAGGCCCAAATAATTCAGTTGCATACAGTGTGAGTTCATGTTATTGCAAGGCTGTTGAAAAGAAATGGGGCTAGGAAGAGAAGTCTGTTGTATTATATGTAAACTCATGTTGTCCTGCAGAATGTTGATCTCCAAATATTTCCTTTAGCACATTTTTCCTGCATTAGGTTTATCATTGAATAGGGAGAACATAGGGCTTCTGTTATGATAGAGGAGCGCGTGTTCCCATGAACCACTTGCTGATAACTATACAAACTTAAGATTTTTTTTTTAAAGAGCTATTTTAAAACACTTGGGCCATATCCAAAAGGAGACAAAGCCAGAGGATAGAGTTTAATCCCCAAAACTGCAATTAGAAGGGAAAAGTATTGCAAGTTTATGGTTTCTTGGGCCAAGGGTGCTACTCAACTCCCATTGCTGTGGCTCCAGAGAGAGGGCAGAGGAACCAAAGGGCTCCTGGATAAAGGTGCTAGAAATCAGAATTCAAGGCTGGGAAGGCAGTTTGAAAATTAAAAGGGAAATCATAGCAGCACAAGAACCACAGCTTTTAACAACTCTCTTGAATAAAATACATTCTACTTTTAGCAAGTTCCTCAAAAACTGATTCTCTCCCGCCCCCCACCACGAAAGATTTTCATACCAAAACAAACTTTTAAAAACAATTTAAACAGGAATGGAATGTATCTTTAAGCTTGGCTTTAAAGTGTTTAGTGTACTTTAGAATCACATTTAAAATTGCTCATCTTCCCTACTGAACTAGCTATCTCTCATTTCATGTGTAGTACATCCAGTCTGCATGGCACTAAACCATCAGTCGTCTTTTTCATCACCATTGCTATATATTTAATCAGTCCTTGATTTAATTCTTGCTGCAGAATGTCTCCAGGATCTGTCTTTTCTTCTCCCATTGTCTTTGCCCTAGTGCAGTCTCTGTCTTTATCAAATTGAATTACCGCACATCATCTTGACTGGAGTCCAATCGAGTATTGCTTCCTGGCTAATTTTCCTCAAGACTTTTTTTTTTTTTTTTAAATCACATCAGGGCTGTTCAGAAACATACAGCAGCTTCTTATCTACAGGATCAAATCTTAAACTCTTTTCCTCCCAGCATTCCTACAAGTCTTAGCTACCTACCCTTCATCGAAGTCAGAACTCTTGCCTTGTTTCCTAAATGTTCCTTGCTCATTTTCCACTGTTGCTTCTTCTGTGGCGAAAGCTTTTAAATCTTTGCTATTCACATTTAAGACCTAGTTGAGATGCTAAGCAACTGAAGAAATCTGAGTCTGAGATTGCTCCAAGCCCAGTGTTGTGCTGTTTGATCCTTTTGTCCCCTAGTCATACAGGGTGGTTGTAAATCACTTTTTTTTTTTTTTTTTTGAGATGAGTCTTGCTCTATTGCCAGGCTGGAGTGCAGTGGTGTGATCTCGGCTTACTGCAACCTCTGCCTCCCAGGTTCTAGCGATTCTCCTGCCGCAGCCTCCCGAGTAGCTGGGACTACAGGCGCATTCCACCACGCCCAGCTAATTTTTGTATTCTTAGTAGAGACAGGGTTTCGCCCTGTTGGCCAGGATGGTCTCGATCTCTTGACCTCGTGATTCTCTCGCCTCGGCCTCCCAAAGTGGTGGAATTAGACATGAGCCACTGCACCTGGCTATAACTTTTAAAATAATGTATGAGAATGTATCAATCCTGTATCACTTTTACAGGTTTTATACACATTCTGATTTTGTTTTTGAAAGTACCTTTTTTAGCCTCACCTTCAGCATGTAGCATCATCATCTTAATATTCTTAAGAATAGCAAACCTTTATTCCTTCAGATGGGTCTTTGTTATTGTAAACGGTCAAAGTTTAGTTGGAGCAAAGACTGATGAATAGAATGGGTAATCTCATTTTGACTTTAGCCTTTATACTTTTCCTATATATGTGCATATTTTTTACTTCACCCAATTTTCTATGACCTCTCCCACAGCACTGGCATATTGTATTCAGCCTTTTTCCCCCAAAAAAACTCATTTGTAGTAACTTTATTGCTGTATTTTATATAAGCTTATTTCTATTGATCAATATCCTGTAAGATATCAATTTAAATGGAGGTTTGGTATCCAAGGATTTTTTTCATTTTCAATTTTTACAACTCCCAAGTTGACCCTACAGGTCAAGTAATTTATGTTGTAATTTATGCAGCACGTGTGTCATGCCCTGGGATACTGATGTGTGGGAACAAACTCATTTAAGGAATAGTAAGCCTAGCCAGGGCCTAAGAATTTATTTTTGACATCATGAGATATATCCTGAGACTTGTGGGAATTCCCTACTTTCAAATAGTACTCACTCTAGCTTATCATTTCCCCTATACACAGAGTAAAACCCTGCTAAGAGATGATGCTTATTAAGCCCCAGTTTGTTACAGAATGTTAAAATCTGGACATTCTTTCTAGTCAAGAAATAGGGATAGTTGGTATAGGGCTTCAGTTGCTCTTGACTTGTATAGGTTTACAGTGATTACTATTCAGGTTTAATAATATATATAACACACCAAATACAGAGACTGGCATGTTTGAAGCTTTGATGTAATTGATTTATGCATATTTTGATAGTATTGAATAACAAGGAAATATTTTTGTATAAATTGCTTTATGCTTTTTTTATTCTAGACTGGAACGTGAGAAACGAGCCCGCATCAAAGCACGGAAGGAAAATTTAGAGAAAAAGAAAGCAAAAATTCTTCTAGAAAAGTTTCCACATCTTGCTGAAGCCCAGAAGTGAAGTCTTGTCTAAGATGTCTGAACTCTTAAATTTACCATTTTGTTTTTCTTGAATAGTCTGTGTACAAGAGTAAATATGTTAAGTGGTTTATAAAGAAATTCTGTTTTTAGTCAAGTGACTTTAATCAGTTGTTCTAAGTGTGAATATGGCATGCCAATTAGCTAATTTGGTAGAAGCTAATTTACCTCTAAAAATCAGGTATAAAGTTCGGATTAAATTCCCACTTTATGAATTCTGACATTTAAGCAGGCTTTAAATGTCGCCTGCTATCTTAGAGGGTGAAGGTGATGGTAACTGCCACAGCAAAGGCAATAACTGAATTTGAGTAAAAATTTTACCTCTGTTGTTAATAGGATATGAAGAGGATGTGGGTACTGCTGTTAATAAACAGTGAGTACTCTGATTCAAAATAATGATAAATACATTCAGTCCTTAGAGTAGTAAGTCACAGTGCACCACAGTCCAAAATTTATTTCTGGAATGGCTAATTTTTATTTAATTCTATAAGCCTAAGGTAAAAAGCATAGGCAGTAACTTTTACTAGTCAATAAAAAGCAATTCTACCAATCCACTGGTAATTAATATACTAAACAGAGTTGGAAAGCATTTTACTGAAAGCAAAATATTTAGAGAAAATAGACATTTATACAAAATTATAAAAATGCTTGTAATAAGAATAAGTGCATTTCAAGGAAAGCACAAACTTATCTTAATTTATAGAGCCAGTTAAAGCTTTAAAAAATTTAAGTGGAAATTGAAATATGCAAAAATGTATAAACATTCTACAAAAGATGGTCATTCTTTTCCTGAGTATACTAAAGCTATGAAACGTAAGGTGACAAAGGAAGGTAGAAGCTTGGGAACTCTTTCTCAAGGGCATTTTCTTTCTACACACTGCTTCCCTCCTTCTTCATATTCTTGCTTGGAAATCCACATCTGTTGAAAGGTACCCTGTAAAATGGAAAGAAATTTATATAATTATGCCTTACTTTTTACTAGAAATGGCTTTTCTTAATTTATTTTTTTGAGAGAGGGTCTTGCTCTGTCAGCCAGGCTGGAGTGCAATGGCGTGATCATAGCTCATAACAACCTCGAACTTCTTGGTTCAAGGGATCCTCCCACATCAGCCTGGGACTCCAGGGGCATGCCACCTTGCCTAATTTGTAATTGTTGTAGAGATGGGGCCTCACACTATGTTGCTCAGGCTGGTCTTGTACTACTGGGCACATGTGATCCTCCTGCCTCAGCCTCCTAAAGTGCTGGAATTATAGGTGTGAACCACTGCACCAACCTTTTTTTCTTTTAATATCTTATTTTCATAACTCCTAAACTTTGAATAATTCATTTGAGTCCCACCTCCCAAAATAGTACTCGATTATTTCTGTCCTCCTCCAGAACCATACTCCAGAACAGTATATATGGTGTATATATATACAGTATATAAAGGGGCAGGATGCTGTAAGTCCAGGATGCAGAAAAGTATAAGGACTTTTTCTCCTTATTCAAGGCAGATGGTAGTCCAAGAAACATCTTACACCCAGCACCATGACTTCACCATTTGCTCCAAGAACCAATTCCTGACTTCCTAGACCTCACTGTAGACTTCACTGTAAACTGGGGAATGACCAGAACTTGAGAAGGAATGTTTTGATTTTAAATACATTCCAGACAAGCCCTGACCAGTGCCAATGGGGGTATTATTAGAAGAGGCATGCATATGTTAACATATTTCCACCTCTGTTTGAGAGGGGACATTGAAATTAGGCTGACAAATGTCTACTAATTAGGCAAAGAGGCATTTTGTTATATCAGAACACATAAAACTGGTTATTCTATTAGGTCCTCCGCTCATTTGACAGTTATAAAATGCAAAGACAAATGAAGCACTGGAATTGTTTTTTGTATTTTTACTAAATTTAGTATAATTCAGTAAGAACATTTTTGCAAAGTAGCTCATCTACTAACCAAAGAGGCTAGAATGGAGCCGCCAATCCATGAGCTAAACCTCCGTTCCACTGTTGTATTATTTGCAATCAATTTCAGCCGCATACTCTGAAATAGAAGAATATGCATTAGTACAATCAAATCTTGCGACTCAACTTAGGAAATTTTTTTTTCTTTTTTTTTTTTTTAAATAGAGACAGGGTCTTGCTCTCCATATTGTCCAGGCTGGTCTCCAACTTTTGCACTCAAGCAATGGGTCCATCTCAGCCTCCCAAAGTGCTGGGATTACATGCATGAGCCACTGCACCCAGCCAGGAAATTCAATTTTGACAGACTTCTTAATGGCTCCCTGTGGTTCAAACACTGATTAAAATACGGTAATTTTGAAATAGGATAACAAATCTCAAATCAATCAATAAATCAATCTAATGATTAGTATTATAATTCAGGTATGCTCTAGATCTCCAAGAATTTAGAAAATACAAGGCAGATGTCAACTGTGTGCCTATATATTTAGATACCACTTTTAATAATAGAAATGTGGCATATGTAAAACATTCTTTTATATAGGAAGCTAAAAGACTATTAAATATACAGATTTATTGACATTGTTAGGGCATATGTAACCACTAATAAGGGTTTTTAAATTTACTGTTTAGTGCAGAACACCTTACAAAAAAACCACTTGAAGTTTTGTTGTTGTTTTTTTTTTTTTTTCCCTGAGCCAGAGTCTTGCTTTGTCACCCAGACTGGAGTACAGTGGCATGATCTTGGCTCACTGCAACCTCAGCCTCTTGGGTTCAAGCAATTCTCCTGCCTCAGCCTCCCAAGTAGCTGGGATTACAAGCACGTGCCACCATGTCCAGCTAATTTTTGTATTTTTTTTTTTTTTTTGAGATGGAGTCTCGCGCTGTCACCCAGGCTGCGGTGTAGTGGCGCAATCTCAGCTCACTGCAACCTCTGCCTCCCGGGTTCAAGCAATTCTCCTGCCTCAGCCTCCCGAGTAGCTGGAATTAGAGACGCCCGCCACCAGGCCCAGCTAATTTTTGTATTTTTAGTAGAGATGGGGTTTCACCATGTTGGCCAGGCTGGTCTCCTGACCTCGTAATCCATCTGCCTCGGCCTCCCAAAGTGCTGGGATTATAGGCATGAGCCACCGCGTCCAGCCAATAAAAATTTTAAATTTAAAGTTAAAAGATTGTAACTGCCATTCTGTTATTGAAGTACTATATAAATTACCTTCTCAAACCGAGTTTTTCTATTCTCTTAAAAGTTATTACAATATACCCACTGATCTTTCTAAAACAAACATATGAGCTCATCAGTCCACTGCTAGATTTTATCCTGTGAAGAAGGAAGTATTTCCCCCTAGAGATTCAGCATAGCCCCACTGACACTTTGGGGCTTCTAGCCTCAAGAACTATAAGACAATAAATTTCTGTTTTAAGCCACCCACATGTACTTTGTTATGGCAGCTCTAGGAAACTAATCCATCTTTCTAGCCATATTGCTTTTCCCACTTATGTAAAGACTAGAAGCCAACTACTTTGAATTACTGGAACATACCCATCTTCTCTTAATATTTTTGTAAATGGTTTTATTCCATCTAGATATCCTTTCATAAATTAGTAATGAGTTGAACTATTCATTCAAACTATAGCTTCTTCATGAGGCTATTCTCTGATACTCCTAGCGAGTAAGTAGTGGCTTCTTGGTGTTCCCGACAGCACCTGGTCCATGACATACTGAATTGCTTAGCACGCTACAGTCATCATTTTCTGCATGTCTAACCATCCTAGTAGACTGAGCCTTGGTGTGCAGGGACTAGTGCCTAGCAAACTATCCATATTTAAATATTAAGTTAATAAATGAGATTCAAATAATTTAAGAGAAACTAATAGATGTCAACTAGGAAAACTTGGTTAAAGGATATTAACTTTAGTGATACTATACCAGGCACATACAAAGTATCATGTATCTATTGAAAAATGAATGCTTATCTACAAAATGACACCATCAGTGAGGAAATATATGACTGAAGAATACCATTAAAGAACAAACAGAACTTACTGGAGGAGTTTTCTGAGACAGCTCTCTATTCAACCTGTCAGTAAAACTCTGTATTAGTGTGTTTCCTCCTGCCACTATTACACTGCCATAGAGACCCTAGGATAAAAATACAAGAAAAATCAGTTCCACATGTTTCCAAAAGTTTTAAATACAACTACAAATGTGCTCTACTACAATCTTCCCTTTCATTTTTTGGAAATGTTTTATATAGACCTAATAGCTTAATCCATCGATTCTCCATCCTAGCTGTACATTCCTAAGGAGCTTTTAAAACACAAATTCCTAGGGGCAATTACATAAAAATGGGGATGGGATCCAGGCAAGATTACTTTTAGAGACAGGGTCTCGTTATATTGCCTACATTGGAATGCAGTGGCTATTCACAGGCACAGTCATAGTGTACCACAGCCTCAAACTCCTGGGTTCAAACATTCCTCCTGCCTCAGGCTCCCAAGTAGCTGGGACTACACGCCACTGTGCCTGGCAGGCATGGTTTTTAACTCCCAAGATTATTTTAATGTGCATGAAGTTTTAAGAACCACTAACTTAAAGGAATCATTCTAAAAATCTTAATTTTTTTGGAGATAGCTGCCAATATTTAATTAGAAGTACATTCTATAATGACTTTATCTTAGAATGGTCATCTGGAAATATTAATAGCAACCACCAGCCAAAAATTAAAATTACAAATATTTTGAAAAAGAATGCTCATCTGGAAGTTAGGATATTCAAAATTAGACAGATTATTTTATGATTGTGACAGACAATGATAAACTGAACATATTCCTGGCCAAAATGATTGCTACCTTTCTCTTTTGCAGAGGTATACATCAGAAGCACATGGGAGCTTTTCCAAAACACACATGCTAAGGCCTCCCCAAATAAAAATAAATTACTACTTATATTTACTTTGAATTTGCATGTATGCATCAGAAAGTTAAATGTCAACCTGTTTTAGTGGATAAGTTCCTATTTTTAAAACGTATTTCAAATGTCTAAATCATCTAAGTTTTGAAATAGAAAACAGAATGCAAAAGTATCTCATTAGTTAAAGGGAGAAATTTCACTAAAAACAAAGTTATCACTGTTGCAATAAATATACTTCAATTCAATTACCTTCCCCCAAAGGTGGAATTGTATTTGCACTAAAAAAATCCCAAACTTATATTACTATTGTCCTAGAAACATCACATGCCTACCAGGTTACCAGGTGAAATAAAGTTAAAATAAAGTATGATTTTCATAGCCACTCAAAGCCTTTTTTGAACAACATAGTAGCTATTAGCACTATGCTTTAAGCAAATTAATTAATTCAAAATCTAGGCAGTATGTGGGTGAGAAGCTGAATTAGGTTTAAATTAGATAAAGTCAGTCCTCAATGTTATCAATATGACCTTGGAAACTGACTTTCAACAAAATGACATGTAACAAAACCAATTTTTTCCCTGAAACAATGTCCTTCAAGGACTTACTGTACATTGTTTCACTTAAAGTTGCAGTCTCCAAGAACCTACCACTGATAATGACTGAAGTATATAATATGGAGTTAGTATTTAAAACCTGACAAAGCACAAAAAATATGAAGATTGAGGCCGAGACGGGCGGATCACGAGGTCAGGAGATCGAGACCATCCTGGCTAACCCGGTGAAACCCCGTCTCTACTAAAAAAAATACAAAAAAAAACTAGCCGGGCGAGGTGGCGGGCGCCTGTAGTCCCAGCTACTCGGGAGGCTGAGGCAGGAGAATGGCGTGAACCCGGGAGGCGGAGCTTGCAGTGAGCAGAGATCCGGCCACTGCACTCCAGCCTGGGCGACAGAGCGAGACTCCGTCTCAAAAAAAAAAAAAAAAAAAAATATGAAGATCGTTTAAAATAAACTTCATGTAAAAGTTACTCATACCATTTAAACCACACCTTCCTGAAAAATAAAAGTAGAAGTTGTACTATCTGTAAGAAAATCACTAACAATACATATTTTGGTTTGCCACATTTCAGGAAATCTCTAGTGCAGCATTGTCTACAGAACTTTCTGTGATGGTGCAAATGTTCTATATCTGCGCTGTCTGATGCAGCAGCCACTAGCCACATTTATAATGAGGCTATTACAACTGAAGAATTGAGTTTTATGTTTTTACTTATTTTAATTTAAATTGCCACATGTCGAGGGTAGCTACAAAACTGGACACCATAGCTCTAGAGTTGCACATTTTTCTTTTTCTAGTACTTCATCTTTTTATAGATACTGTTATAAAATGAACTTCAAAGTCAATCACATTGACAACCATTAGGTCACTGTCAACCTAACAATGATTTGGGGGCATTTCAATCCCCTAAAAGGTACCTTTAAACCATAACAGGAGACTGGCACTTACTGGTCTGATATCAATATCACACATCCCAACACTTGTGGTGACAACATGACTGACTCCTAACATTGTGTTTCCTGATAATCCCTACAACAAAAGAAAACAAGTAGTCACATGGAGGCTCTTCATACAGTAAAGCATATCCAAAACATTTTAGCCACAAAAGCTCTTTACCTATATAGGAAAAGCCAGGCTAATTATGAAAAGCTTTTATACCTTTACATTGGAAGGGTCAAATAATCCTTCTGGAATTTTTAGCCGCTCTGCACCAAAATCACAATTGTAGCCATTGGGGAACTCATAATGAACAGTTGGCATCTGTGCAGCCACTCTGAAAACATGTTAAACAGTATTACACAAAAGACAAAAATAATTCTCTTCAAAATTATAAACCACTAGGGAATTATCAACTTGTAAAAAAATGGGAGTGAGAATATTTTAAACATTATTCAATTAAGTACTTCCTATGTTTTCTAAACAAATCCTTTCCTCATTTATAAAGTATACAATTTAAATAAAAAACATACTGTTCATCATAAGTTGAATCCGACACTTGAAGTACCGAAGCTTGAAAATCCTGGATAACACACTATGAGTGAAAGAAAAAAGTTTAACAAACAAGGTTGAGATTTATCTTTGTAATCTATACTTTTATAATATATTTTAAATACTTTTCAGAATGAAATTGGACCATGTTTCTATATGTGTAAAGCATTTCAACAGCATTAATCTACCTAACAAGGATACTGAGTATCAAGAAACCTAATTCTAAACATTTGCATTAGAAGCTAAATTCCACACATTTAAGTTACAACAGTTATGAAACGATGAGAGATAAACAACTGCAGGTGCAGGAACCCCTGCACCACAGTCCTGCATAACAAAACCAATTTCAGAACACCACTTTCTTCTTAAAAATAAGCTAGATTAGAAGCAAGATTTCATTACTTACATATACACATGTGCATATACATCACATTTTACCCAACTTTTAATGACTGTACATAGTATAAAACAGTTTAATAAAATGCTATGAACTAACATGACCTCTAGAAAAATCTTGTCTAATATCTAGGAAAAATGAGTAATCCTAATTTTTCCTCATATATTACATGTACACACACACAAAATCTTTAGGTGCAAAAACTGTCAGAGCTGGGTGCAATGGCTCATGCCTGTAATCTCAGCACTTTGAGAGGCCAAGACAGGAGGATCTTGAGGCCAGGAGTTCAAGACCAGCCTGGACAACATAGTGAGACCCTGTCTCTATAAAAATAAAAAATAAAAAATTAGCCAGGCATGGTGGCATGCACCTGTAGTCCTCCCTACTTAGGAGGCTGAGGCAGGGGGAGCCCAGGTGTTTGAGGCTGCAGTGAATTACAATTGCACCACTGCACTCTAGCCTGGGTGACAGAGAGGGAGACCCTGTATTTATTTATTTATTTATTTATTTATTTATTTTTATTTATTTAGAGTCTTGCTCTATTTATTTAGACAGAGTCTTGCTCTGTTGTCCAGGCTGGAATGCAGTGGCACAATCTCAGCTCAATGCAACCTCCATCTCCCATGTTCAAGCAATTCTCCTGCCTCAGCCTCCCAAGTAGCTGGGATTACAGGCACTCAACACCACACCCAGCTAATTTTTGTATTTTTAGTAAAGATGGGGTTTTACCATGTTGGCCAGGATAGTCTTGAACTCCTTGCCTCAAGTGATCCACCACCTCGGCCTCCCAAAGTGCTGGGATTACAGGCATGAGCCACCGTGCCCGGCCAACCCTGTCTTTAAAATATATATATATATGTGTGTGTGTGTGTGTGTGTATATATACACACACATGATATATACATGATATAAATATATATGATATAATTTTTAAAAACCTGTTAGATATGATCCTTCTCATAGTAATTATGACATATAATTTTACTCTTAGTTTCTTTTGCTGGATACACATTAATTTCTATCAACAGAGTAAGCAAACAACCTACAGAATAAGAAAATATTTGCGAACTATGTATCTAACAAAGGTCTAATATCCAGCTTCTATAAGAAACTTAAACAAAAAAACCCACCTCATTAAAAAGTAGGCAAAGGACATTAACAGACACTTCAAAAGAAAACATACATGCGGCCAACGGCATATGAAAAAAAGATCACTATCACTGACCATCAGATAAATGAAAATCAAAACCACAATGATACACCATCTCACACCAGTCAGAATGGCTATTATTTATTATAAAAAAGTAAAAAAATAGGGCTGGACACGGTGGCTTACACCTGTAATCCTAGCACTTTGGGAGGCTGGGGCAGGTAGATCATGAGGTCAAGGGTTCGAGACCACCCTGGCCAACTAAGAATACAAAAATTAGCCGGGCGTGGTGGCACGCGCCTGTAGTTGCAGCTACTCGGGAGGCTGAGGTAGGAGAATCACTTGAACCCGGGAGACGGAGGTTGCAGTGAGCCGAGATTGCACCACTACGCTCCAGCCTGGGCAACAAAGCAAGACTCTGTCTCGAAAAAAATAAATAAATAACATGCTGCTGACAAGGCTGCAGAGAAAAGTGAACTTTTATTCACTTTTGGTGAGAATGTAAATTAGTTCAACTATTGTTGAAAGCCGTGTGGCAATTCCTCAAAGAGCTAAAAACAGAACTACCATTTGTTTTTTTTTTTCTTTTTTGAGGTGGGTTCTCACTCTGTTACCCAGGCTAGAGGGCACTGGTACACTCACGGGTCACTGCAGACTCGACCTCCCAGGGCTCAGGTGATTTTCCCACCTTAGTCTCCCACGTAGCTGGGACTAAAGGTGCACACCCCTACACTTAGCCAATTTTTCTTTTTCTTTTTTTTTGAGATGGAGTCTCACTCTGTCACCCAGGCAGGAGTGCAGTGGCACCATGTTAGCTCACTGCAACATCCATCTCCTGGGTTTAAGCAATTCTCCTGCCTCAGCCTCCCAAGTAGCTGGGATTACAGGTGCCCACCTCCACACTCAGCTAATTTTTTAATATTTTTAGAAATGGGATTTCACCATGTTGGCCAGGCTGGTCTCAAACTCCTGACCTCAGGTGATCCGCCCGCCTCGGACTCCCAAAGTGCTGGAATTACAGGAGTGAGCCACCGCACCTGGCCCCACTTAGCTAATTTTTCTGTTTTTGTAGAGACAGGGTTTTGCCATGATTCCCAGGCTGGTCTCTAACTCCTGAGCTCAAGGGATCCACCCACCTCAGCCTCTCAAATTACAAGCGTGAGCCACCATGCCTGGCCCAGTACTACCATTTGACCTGGCAATTTCATTACTGGGTATATACCCAAAGGAATATAAAGCACTGTATCATAAAGACACATGTATGTGTATGTTCACTGCACCACTATTCACAATAGCAGACATGGAATCAACTTAAATGCCCATCAGTGGAAGACTGAATTAAGAAAATGTGGTATATACAGACCACGGAATATTATGCAGTGAAAAAAAAAAAAAACAAAGAATGAGATCATGTCTTTTGAAGGAACAGGGATGGAGCTGGAGGCCATTATCCTTAGCAAACTAATGCAGGAGCAGAAAACCAAACACAGCACGTTCTCACAAGTGGGAGCTAGATGATGAGAACACATGGACACAAAGAAGGGAACAACAGACAGTGGGGCCTCCCTGAGGGATGAGGGAATGGAGCAGAAAAAATAACCATTGGGTACTAGGCTTGGTACCTGGGGGACAATAATCTGTACGACAAACTTCCGTGATACAAGTTTACCTATATCACAAACCTGCACATGTACCCCTGAACCTAAAATAACAGTTTTTTTAAACAAAACAAAAAAAAATTAAGGTGCATCTGTGGTGTCAGGTTGTTTTACTAACCTCTTCCCCATCAGTAAGCCATATGTTCAGAGATGGGTTTTTAGTAGAGAATCTCTCATGGGTTCCTTGTTCTGAACAAAAACACATTTTTGATACGGCTGACTGATGCTGGGAAACAGAACATAACTGAGACATACTAGTAGGCCTCTCCAAAACCTAAAACCATTTTCTCAGTCAAAAATGTTCAGAATAGCATAAAACCAAAATTCCCTCCAGGTCTCATCATAGTAATCCAAGTGAATATGTAGTGATTTGCAGAGATATTTGTTTGGCAAATATGAAAAGCATGCCTCTCACAGCAAAGCTCTTTTGTTAGTAAAGTATCATTAAAAATATAGAGCATAATCCTGAGATCATGCTCTATTTAATCTTCAAAATATATTTAGTAATTTAAAAAAAAAAGCTTGAAAATATAAAGTGCTCATATTTTACTCAAGGATTTACAGCCTATATATAACTTTTTTTTTTAATAATCATGCAAAAAGCCTATAACATTTTTGTAAAGAGAATGAGGGTTACTTACATTACACATATAATTGTGCCAAGACCTCGTAACCTGAGGCAACTTCTCTTTTCTTTTCCAGTTTGCTGGAGATCCTTCACGAACAGCTTCCTGAGAGTACCAAGAGATGCTAGGTTAATGGAGTTCATTTCATAGGGGTGGGGGAGCTAGAGGTAAGTTCTAGAAAGAAAATTCAATACTTACTTTTGATGCAATCATATATGGAGGAACCAATTCAATATTCATTTCTTGGAAGAGTTCTCTGCATTGCATAGTAATAAAGTCTCCAGCAAGAGGGGATTTCACAATGCCTATGAAACAGATGAGACAAGGTTAAGAGAGCAGTTAAGTCCAAACTTCCTAGAACGAATTTCCCCTACGGGTGTATTTATATGAAAAACTTTTTCAGGTAAATGAACTATCCTTCAACACATAAATAAAGCAATGCATCAGTTTTAAATACACATTATATACTAAAGATTTTTAACATACTTAAAAAATGATCTTATTCAGAAACTGATATGCTTTAAAAGTGCTACTCATCATTTTATTTCATTATGTGCATCCTCATAACACCTAAAATCATCTCAGTGTATCCTGGTTAAATACATTTACCTTGTTGAAGGACATAGCCATCGTGGACTGGAATTGCAGTGGTATGAGTGGCTCCACTGTCCAAAATCAGCCCAGTAGAACGACCATTAGCAAATCTAGTTTAAAACATTAAGGAAAAGAAAGTATCAAGGCTGCTAAAATAATGTTTATTGTAAAGGGCAGGCTCTTATATTTCAGAAACTATTTCTTAAACATGTACCTCATAGTTAAAAATGTATTACAGTGAATCTAGGGATAAAAATTGGTATAAAATAATATTTATGGCTTAAGAACAAATAGCAAGAGGCAGGAATTCTAGAATGGAGGTATCAGGAACTCAGGGAAACCTTTATCCTAGAAACAGCTACTATTAAGCTGGTCAAAATTAACATAATCATTGAAAGTCTCTGGAGACTGACCAAAGCGCTTACAACAAACTGAGATGCATTTATTTAACAAAATGTACAGAAACTTGGTAAGAACAGTGGGAGGTTGTGACAACTGAGCTAGGGACTATAACCATTCTCACATAGCATTGAAGAGGAGCTGTTTCAGTAGTTTGGCAAAGCCATATGGCAGTTCCTATCTCCTCTAACTCAATGGGCGGGAAAACTATGCCAGGTGAATTCCGCAGTTGGTGAATATTGGCAGATCCCATTTTCCACACTTCTGTGCTGCAGAAGGCCTATGCTACCTGAATATACTAAACTGAAGTTTAGGAGTAGGGGCATTCACTCATTCATCAAATATTTACTGAGCGTCTATTAGGTGTCTACTAAGTCTGGTGCTTAATAAGGAGGGAGGGAGGAAAGAGGGAGGCTGCTCACCTGGCACTAAAATTCTTTTAACACAGTAGACACATAATGGTGCACCAAAACTGCCTTTTCCCTGAAGGTTATCCTGTTTAGTGAAGTAGATGATCAATAAAGCTGTAAAAAGAAAAGCTCACGATGTCCCAGGGAAGGTGGTGGTGTAAATGAGAAAGCTATTCCTGGGATATCCAATTGTAAATTCTGGGGAAGGGAATATGGGCAAGAGTAGGAGATGTGGGAAGACCAGGAGGCAAGAGAACACAGCGAGGTCAGAGAACTGCAAGCACCTCAGTACGGTCTGAAAGTAAAAGGAAGAAATGTAGATGATGATTCTGGCTTAAAGCAGACTAGCACTTTAGAAAGATTATTAGAGGCTGGGCATGGTGGCTCATGCCTGTAATCCCAGCACTTTGGGAGACCGAGGCAAGCAGATCGCTTGAGTCCAGGAGTTAGAGAGCAGCCTGGGTAACATGGTGAAACTCCATCTCTACCAAATAAATAAATAAATAAAAATAGAAAGATTATTAGATCAACAGTGTGAGGAATGGGCAGACAAGAGGATGTGCTTCAGTAATCCTGGAAATAGCTTCCACCTAATGCTGTGGCAGCGGGAAAGAGAGAAGCAAATAGCAGGGAAGAATAGGTGGGACTTGATGACTGACTAAATTTGAAGGGGAATGAATTTACAGCCAATTTCCAGTTTTCTGTGATATTGGAAGGGAGGGAGAAAATGGCAATCTTTCATTTCATCTAAGCCAACTGGTTAAAATATTGCCTTCTATCCATATGCACCTTCTTTTTTTTTTTTTTTTTTTTTTGAGACGGAGTCTCGCTCTGCCGCCCAGGCTGGAGTGCAGTGGCCGGACCTCAGCTCACTGCAAGCTCCGCCTCCCGGGTTTACGCCATTCTCCTGCCTCAGCCTCCCGAGTAGCTGGGACTACAGGCGCCCACCACCTCGCCCGGCTAGGTTTTTGTATTTTTTAGTAGAGACGGGGTTTCACTGTGTTAGCCAGGATGGTCTTGATCTCCTGACCTCGTGATCCGCCCATCTCGGCCTCCCAAAGTGCTGGGATTACAGGCTTGAGCCACCGCGCCCGGCCTGCACCTTCTTAAAAACAAAAACGTCTTAACACTCAGAATTTGAGTGTTACTTTATTTCCCTCATACTTTCTAGCGTATCATTAGTTCTAATGAGAAACACCAAAAGAGGAATAGCTAAAAAGCAAGAGAAAAGAGAAAAAAACAACTTCTGAACAAGCAATAATTGGCTTATGTCTTCTGCCAGAGTTATCACACTCAGTAGTATGGTATACACTTCAAGAGGGAAGGTATTACTCTTTCAAGGATACGCTGTCAAAACTGCAGTTTTGCAAAGGAAGAATGCAGGGATGTTGTAGTGTTCAAACATTAACTCTGTCAGTTTCTCTCTCTTTGCTCTAGTATTCCACTTGAGAAGAGGGGGAAAAAGAAATGCAAGTTATTAAGAATTAAAAAGTTGATTTATCTCCAGATAAAATCTAGCACTATATTAACAAAGAAATAAAACATTAAGAACAGCAAAAAATATCATGGGAAATAATCTTTCATAATAATATCTCACAAAAATAAAAACAAAACCTCTATATTTCTTTAGATGTAGATTAAACAAATCAATCAGATAAGAATTAAAATTCTTTAATAATAAAATTGCTTCTATAAATTCTAGAAATTATAGACTTTTCCAAATATGAGGAAATCAGGATTCTTATAAACATATTATTAAATCTAAAGAGTAAATATGGTCAATCCAAATCCTAAGTATGAATTTTAGACCACCAAATTCTCCCACTTATAGATAGTATTCATAAAAGAAACTCTAAGTGAGCAACAATAAGATACTGATAATTTATGACCATTATGCTTGCTTTCTGGGTCGTTTCTGTCTATGTACCAAATGTATTTCACAAGAGACTTTGGTCCAGAAATTTCCAGCCCTTGTTCAACATCTCAATTCTCTTGGAAACTTGAATAAAGTAGATACACGCTGCCCTTGGGGCACAAGAAATGATTCATAATTCAAAATGGGAAGCAGTCCTAGGAAATAAAATGTTAAATCCCTAGAAATACATAAATAACCACAAGAATTCATTAGTGTGTTTTGTTGTTCTCTGCATATTTTATCAGAATAGTAAAATGAAAGTTACAATAGTATTAAAAAATCCTTTTCCCTAATTTTCAAATTCAAAATATGAATTTCTATGCCTCTTTAAAGAAAAATATTCATCAAATTAGAAAACTAAAGGAAAAAAGAAAAAAGAAAAAACAACAACTACAGAAACATGAAAAAGAAAATCTTTATCTCACCGGTGCCTCTGACATGAGAACAGGATGGAGGCTGGCTTCTGATTTGACATGCATTTTGTAGGTATGATCCAAAATAGCCTGGAAACTATCCCAGTCTTCAACTAGAATATAAGATTAGTAACTTGGAAACAATGCATAGTTGAAGATGAATACAACATATTTTGAGAAATTGTTTCTGTGACTTAACAATTAATACCATATTATACAGAACCTACTGATTTTACAGATCAACTTCATACCACAGTACTTTAGATTACCTTTGTCTTCTAGATATATAGAACTTCTTTTTGGTCCCTCCAGCCCCTAGACCTATCCCAAATGTAATTAATCTAACAGACCTAAAATACCAAGTAAATGTTATTCAATTCAATAAATACTTATTAGAGGCCCAGAATGTGATCAGAATAACAGGAAATACAGAGGAATTATATGGCCTTCTAAATGATACTACTGCTGGGTTTAAAACAAAAAAAAATAAAGATTTGTATGGTCTAGACCCAACACTCAAAAAAGCTTACAATCTATTTGGAAAAAGACTAAAAGACATGTTAAAAATTCAAAGAAGAACATCTGTCTTCACTTTGGCTTCCACCTAAACATTCCATTAAAACTACCGACAAAAGTCATTAATGACCTTCTTTTTTTTGAGATGGAGTCTCATTCTGTCGCCCAGACTGGAGTACAAAGGCGCAATCTCGGTTCACTGCAACCTCTGCTTCCTGGGGTCAAGCAATTCTCCTGTCTCAGGCTCCCAAGTAGCTGGGATTACAGGTGCCCGCCACCATGCCCAACTAATTTTTGCATTTTTAGTAGAGACAGGGTTTCACCATGTTGACTAGGCTGGTCTCTATCTCCTGACCTCAGGTGATCCGCCCACCTCGGTCTCCAAAGTGCTGAGATTACAGGTGTGAGCCACCGCCCCCAGTCACGAATGACCTTCTACTAGGCAAATTCATGGACACTTAACATTTTTAATCTCATCTGACTTCTCTAAATTATGACAGTATTGCCTTCACAAGAGTTTACAAACTTTTCTGTTGCAGCCCAAAGAAAAAAATGTCATTAATTATATATTTCCACAGGCCCACCTGGATTTTTTTAACTTCTTTCTTAGTGTAAAGCTTTCAATGTCACAGCGGAAAACACTGAGAATAAATGGAATTTTATGCTTCCAGAAACTTTTTCTTTTCTTATTCTTCCCCTGAATTTTTTCCTACATCCCTAATTGTTCCCTTTCATTCTCCTTCAGGGGTACCTTTTATTCTCTATTGGTTAAAATATACAAGTTTTTTGCTAAGAACTCCATCTTCAATCCTCTTCTCATATTCCAAATTTTTTCAGAGTAATAAAACGCAACTCCATGTCTTAAAATCTTTCTTATAATCTTTATTCCCCTGTTTACAGAATTGTCACCTGGATGTTCTAAGCACTTTTAACTCAGTGAACCCATTTACTTACTATACATGAAAGAGTTAACACTGCAAGCCTGAGAAAGTCCTGCTTGTAAGGCTCACTCTTAGCTGGTGTCTGGAAACACGATTGGCAAACAGTTCCCTATGTTCATATAAAACTTGTCCCTAAATGGTAAGAGTAGCTCGCTATACCTACACTGTTTGTACAATGTGGTTGGTTCTGAACACTTGCTTTCCTTCTGAGAATCTAAAATTTTGTTACATGCCAGGTAGATGGTACCTACATAACCAGCCCTCTGTAAAATCCTTGGGTACTGAGTTTCAGAGTTCTCCTGGAAGATAACACAGGTTGTAACTTGTTGATGGAGGGATTAAGCACATCCTGTGTGACTCCACTGTGAGAAAACTCTCCGAAGCCTGCATCTGGACTTCATCATCCCCTGTCCCTTTTCCCTTTGTCGATTTTGTTTTGAATCTGAATCTTCAGTACAATAAATCTTAGCTGTGAATACAACCATATGCTGAGTCCTATGAGGGAGTCTTGCTGGTGAGTAACTGAACCTGAGAGTGATTTGGAGTATCCCTGATAACCTCGCTTTTTTCTTTTTCTTTCTTTTTTTTTGAGACAGAATTTCGCTCTGTCACCCAGGTTGGAGTGCAGTCATAGGATCTCAGTTGCAACCTCTGCATCCTGGGTTCAAGTGATTCTCATGCCCCAGCCTCCTGAGTAGCTGGGATTACAGGTGGTATGCATCACCACACCTGGCAAATTTTTGTATTTTTAGTAGAGATGGGGTTTCACCATGTTGCCCAGGCTGGTCTCAAACTCCTAGACTCAAGCAATCCACCTGCGGTCTCAGCCTCCCAAAGTGCTGGGATTATACAGACACAAGCCACCGCGCATGGCCAGCCATGCCTTTTAAAACCATAAAACTTGCTTCTTCCCTTTCTATTCCTATCTCAATGCATGGTACTCTCTGTTCAGAGTTACTCCAACCAAAAATCTAGGAAACTTTCTCAACTTCTCTCTTGCTTTCACTCCCTCGATCGTTTAGTACCATTTGTTTCCTGGTTACCCTGAAAGTCCCTTCAGAATCTCTGCCAGCATTATATAAGGGTTTAAACCTTTTTCATTTCTCATCTGGACTCTTACCTCCCTTATTGAGGTCCGTCTCTAGTGTCTCCTTCCAATCTAGACTACATATTACTATTAATCTTTCCAGCTGGCAAATACGAGCATATCACATCTGTTTAAATTCCTTTGGGGTTATCCTTCAGTAACTAGCTTAATACAACCCTGGGATGGTTTACAAGCCCTTTTATGACTGCTCGCTGCCTACCTTTCCTGCTACTGACCCTAATGAGCCCAATGCTGCAACCATACTTAATTGTATTACATTTTTAAGCACATAAGCTTCTTTCACAATTCCATCCCTTCACACATGCTGGTCCCTCTGCTTTACCCAGCTTTGTCAGCCAGACTAATTCTTATTCATTGATCAAGATTCATCACAAGTTACCTCCTTTGTGAAAACCATCACTGACTCCCAACACTAGAGTAAAATACCTCTCCTCTCTAATCCCATTGCTCATTGCATATACCTATATTGTAGCACTTATCACAGTGTACCATTATTTGTATATATACATACATCTATTTCTCCTAACTAAGCTTTTAAGGAAAAGGAACATTTCTTATGTATCTTTATATTCTCAGTGTCTGAAATCAGTTTGTGGAATAAAAAAAAAACAAAAAACAAAAAAAAACCATAGCTGATGTTCAACTTATAGGAAGCTACTACTTTGTATCTAAACTGTAACATGTACACTCTATAATCAATTCCATGGGGAAAACATCTTACCCATCCCATTTTTTAGAGGTGAAATGGCCTCCATATTCTCCCTTGGAACACGCAGAGCATTAGTATCTATGTAGTAGGTGGGACCGCCTTGTTTGCCTTTATCGCCATCTATTTCCATTAATGTGCTTCCGTCGTCTCTTTCTACTACCATACCAATAGCTGTAGGAAAATCCACCTGTAAGAGTCAGAAATATGATACACAAGTTTCACCTTTTATCAAGGAGGCATTTTTCCCCCAACTAATGTATTTTATTATATTTTGTTTTAAATTAGAATTTCTGCATGAATTTAATTTACATGAATAGCTCTACATATCCAATTAACTCTAACTTTACACTTACCTTAGGGCAGTCCTCACCAGCATAACCAGCTCTCACAGTATAGGATCCAATGTCAAAAACAAGGGCTCCAACTTCATCTGAAAAGATTAAAAGATAATTAGCATTAACAGCTTGCAGAAGTATCACATGAAAATCACAGCTCACTGCAGCCTCAATCTCCTAGGCTCAAGCAATCCTCCTGCCTCAGTCTTCCAAGTAGCTGGGGCTACAAATGCATGCCAGCACGCCCAGCAAATTTTTAAAATTTTTTTGTAGAGATAAGGTCTCACTATGTTGCCCAGGCTGGACTCAAACTCCAGGGCTCAAGCAATCCTCTGCCTCAGCATCCCCAAGTGCTGCAGGCATGAGCCACTGCACTCAACCCAATTATATTCATATTATTATTCACTTGAACCTAGTTTCAAATACACCTTAAAGAATCATTTAATTAAAATATAACAAGTCATACACCGTATTTCAGTAGAGGTTCAATCAGTTAAGAAATGGTACACTAAAACTGGGTAATTTGAGTTTACTTATTAAAGGGAATTATTTGCAAAGATACAGGTGAAATACGGACAACCAGAAGGAACAGTACAGTACCCCAGTACTATAATGATAACTAATAATAATGGATCCATTGCCATTCTTCAAACTGAAGAAACAAGAAGAAATAACTGTTATCAGAATCTGGAGAGAAAGTTGTATGGGGAGGGCTACCTGATAGGAGCTGTGAATTTTAGTAGAGGGGATGCAGTTAGCCATAGATTACCCTGAGGTGAATGAATCAGGCTAATAAATATACCAGTAACCTCCCTCCACCATCAACTAGGGTGATTCTATAATTTATTATCCAAAGTGGGACAACCACTATGGGCAATTTAGTTACATCTACTAAAGTTGAAATTGTGCATACATAGAATTACACTTATTTATTCTGGAGACACTCTCTCATACAGGTTGCAAGGAGACATGTACAAGAATGTTCAACAGCTACAAGAACTGAGCAATTTATTAACCTCTCTGCTTCAGTTTCCTAACATGTAAAATATACATAATAGCTCTTACCTCACAGGATGCTCTAACGATTAAACGTATTAAATACTTTCATGTATATGAAGTCTTAGAAAACTCACACATTAAATGTAAGCTGCTATTATAATTGACACACTGCTTGCCACAGGAAAAGGCAGAAATAATCTAACGGTCTCTCAGTAGTGAAATAGATAAGCAATAGTATATTCATACAATGGAATCCTGTACAGCAGTTCAAATGAACACTCTAGATCTACATATGTCAGCATCAATAAATCTAAAAGAACGCTTAGTTTTAAAAGCTAGTTACCAAAAAACTATATATGTATACACACAAGCACCCCCCCGGAAAAAAAAAAAAAAAAGAAAAGAAAATACGCATGGGGTCTGGGAATGTTACATACCAACTTCAGTTTAGTGGTTACCTGAACTGAAGAAGTGAGAGAGAGGAAATCTGTATCAATTAACATTTTTATTCTTAAAATATCTGAGGTATTAATATGGCAAAATATGACATCTATTTAATCTCACTGGTGAATATAATATTGTATTACATACAAACTTATAGGAATATTACTGTAATATCACATACAAACATATATTTATATATTTTTTATGTTTATATATTTTTAGTATGCTTAAAATATTTCAAAAACTTCTTAAAAATTTTAAAAGTAAACCCATTACTTTGCAAATATCAGTTAAGAGATAGTATCTTTGCAGAATGATTTTTTTTTTTTTTTTTTTTTTGGACTCGCAGTCTTGATGTATCACCCAGACTGGAGTGCAATGGTGTGATCTCGGCTCACTGCAACCCCCACCTCCCGGGTTCAACTGATTCTCCTGCCTCAGCCTCCTGAGCAGCTGGGACTACAGATGTGCACCACCACGCCCAGCTAATCTTTGTATTTTTAGTAGAGATGGGGTTTCATCATATTGGCCAGGCTGGTCTCAAACTCCTGACCTTGTGATCCACCTGCCTTGGCCTCTCAAAGTGCTGAGATTATAGGTGTGAGCCACCGCACCCAGCCTTTTGTTTTTACTCAAATAAAACAAAGACACATTTAAATTTCTAATATAAAAGAAAGTTTGTGTATTTGTTACATTTCTCAAGATAATTAACACAACCCTGTAAAATTCTCTGGTCCAAATTATTTTGTCAGAAACTAGGGGATCCTTAAAAGGAGAACACTGTATTTGTTTTCACCACAGCACCTAAACTTGAGTACAAATGGTAAGTATAACAATGAACAGGAGTTGATAACATTTAATACTTTTATTAACCAGAATGCTGGGTAAAGAGATATCCTAATTAAATGAATTAATTGTATAGTTAACCAAAAATTTCAAGTTCTGTTCCTCAAGGATTTATCTTTTGCCCTGCACTAGGAACCCTTAACCTGTTCTGTGTTATGGACCCTTGTGACAGTGTTGTGGACTGAATTGTGTCTCTAAAATTCCTATGTCAAAATCCTAACCCCTAGTACCTCAGAATGTGACTGTACTTGAAACCAGAGTCTTTATTCTGTTTTTTTTTTTTTTTTTTTTTTTTTTTTTTAATGTTTTGAGAGAGAATTTCGTTCCTGCCGCCCAGGCTGGAGTGCAATGGCACAATCTCAGCTAACTGCAACCTCCGCCTCCTGGGTTCAAGAGATTCTTCTGCCTCAGCCTCTTGAGTAGCTGGGATGACATCTGCTGGCCACCAAGCCTGGCTAGGTTTTATATTTTTAGTAGACACTGGGTTTCACCATGTTGGCCAGGCTGGCCTCAAACTCCACACCTCAGGCGATCCACTCACCTTGGCCTCCCAAAGTGCTGGGATTATAGATGTGAGCTACCATGCCCAGTGAAACCAGAATCTCTGAAGAAGTAATTAAGTTAAAATGAAATCATTAGATTGGGTCCTAATCCAGTATAACTGATGTTTTTAAGAGAAAATTCGGGCCGGGTGTGGTGGCTCACACCTGTAATCCCAGCACTTTGGGAGGCAGAGGCAGGCGGAACACAAGGTCAGGAGATCAAGACCATCCTAGCCAACATGGTGAAACCCCAACTCTAGCCAAAATACAAAAAATTAGCCAGGCATGGCGGTGTGCACCTGTAGTCCCAGCTACTCGGGAGGCTGAGGCAGGAGAATTGCTTGAACCCAGGAGGCGGAGGCTGCAATGAGCTGAAATTATGCCACTGCACTCCAGCCTGGGTGACAGAGCAAGTCTCCATCTCAAAAAACAAACAACAACAACAACAAAAAAAAACACAGAAAATTCAGACTTGGACTTGTACAGAGGGAAGGCCATGTGAAGACAGAAGGAGGAGATAGCCATCTACGCACAGAGAGACCTCAGAAGAAACCAACTCTGCTGACACTAAGATCTACCTCTAGCCTCCACAACTGTGAGAAAACTAATTTCTGTTGTTTAAGCCACACAGACTGTGGTACTTTATTATGGCAACCTACAAACTAATACACACAGTTTAGGAAATTATGAATCCCTTCTTAAAATGTTTTTAAATGTTTATAAAAGAAACCAATTATAATAAAATATAGTTCTACCATGGAAACTTTGGGAAGGCCACAAACCCCATGTTAGAAGCCCCTTCCCTAATTTACCCTTTCCTGGGTAATATACTGTACTCCTATAGCTTCAACTTCTACCTAAATATTGGTAATTCCAATCTCAAAACACACTCTCTCTCTCTCTCTCAGCTCCAACCAATGTCTAGATCCATATCCTGAACTTTTTACTGTACAACAACATAATTGTATCTGATGTCTCGTGGGTATCTCAAATTCAACACATCTGAAGCACTGCTCATCTCAGCATTGCCTAACACATTGCTGACCACAGTCCACATTGGCAAAAACCTGAGAGTTGCTGTGAACACCTCCATCTTTCAAGTTCTGCCAAATATTTCTGCTAAGTATTTCTCAAATCCCCTCCTTTTAAATACCATTGCCCCTGCCTTCAATCAGGCTCTTATCTCAACAGGGAAACTACAATTCCCTACAGATACCGTGCCTCTACCTCTTTGCCTCTTAAATCTACCCTTCCAACTGCTGTACTGTGATCTTTCAATATTGTAACTGTCATTATTTTGGTACATAAATCCTTCAACAAAAATAAGGGGGTGAATCATTCCATGGTTTCTCATCACTGAATTTGATAAAATTTAAATCACTCTAGCCAGTTGAAATTCAAGGCGTAGCAATATCTGGTAGCAGTCTCACTTCCTGCCTCATACACTGACTTACTGGGTAATATGTCATCTCCTGAACACACCACATACTCTCAGCTAACCTTTGCATATGCTGTCCCTTTCCACTCCTCCTCCATCATCCCCATTACCTCTATTGTAAAGTCCCTTGACTCCACCACATGGAATCAATAACTTTATTCTCTGAACTACCTTTGCACTATATAACATATGTAAATATATATAACATATATAAATATAAAACATATAAATATATGATATGTAGCATATATATAAAAATTATATATATAAATATATATAACATATATAAATATATATATGTTTGTTTTTGTTTTTTTAGGATACAGTCCTGCTCTGTCACCCAGGCTGGAGTGTAGTTCCAGGTTCAAGTGATTCTTGTGCCTCAGCCTCCCCAGTAGCTGGGACTCCAGGCATGTGCCACCATGCCTGGCTAATTTTTGTATTTTTAGTAGAGACAGGGTTTTGTCGTGTTGGCCAGGTTGATCTTGAACTCCTGGCCTCAAGTTATCCGCCCGCCTCAGCCTCCCAAGTTGTTGGGATTACAGGTGTGAGCCACCGCACCTGGCCCCTTCTACATATTGTTATCAATGAACAGCTCTCATTGAATTACAGTTACCATTTCTGATCAATATAAGATGCTATCAACTACATGATGCACCACTATTTCCGGCATCACTAAGAAAATAATATGGCAGTTAAAACTCTGCCAGGCCAGCACTACTGAGACATATTCTGGCTGGGGGCAGTGGCTCAAACCTGTAATCCTAGCACTTTGGGAGGCTGAGGCAGGAGGACTGCCTGAGCTCAGGAGTTCAAGACCCGTCTCTATTAAAAAAAAAAAAAAGACATATTCCAACTTCAGCTGTTTAAATGTGGGAAAAATGTACAACTAAGAATCAGTGAAATATGGTGTCTATTTACCTAACGGACTCATCTACAAGACTGAACTTCTTGATGACAAGAGCCTATACCTGCCACATAGTGCTCAAAACACATTTTTGTGAAATAGAAAAAATCCAACATATCAGCTCATTTTCCTGCCCTAATTAGTAAACTGGATATGGTGGAAGTTTAATTTAAGACTCTAAATTCTTAGAATTTTACATCTGTTCCTTTTTCAGGATGGGAGATACATCTAATTCCTGTACCCTGCTTCCTAAGTAGGAGAGTGGCAATGGGAGGCAGGAGGCTTAGGAGAAAGAACCACAGAGTTCTGGATGTTTAAAACCTAGGATGCAATTTCTAGTGTATAAAAATCCTCAAGAATTGAACCTCAGCCGGGCGCGGTGGCTCAAGCCTGTAATCTCAGCACTTTGGGAGGCCAAGACGGGCGGATCACGAGGTCAAGAGATCGAGGCCATCCTGGCTAACACGGTGAAACCCCGTCTCTACTAAAAAATACAAAAAAACTAGCCGGCGAGGTGGCGGGCGCCTGTAGTCCCAGCTACACGGGAGGCTGAGGCAGGAGAATGGCCTAAACCCGGGAGGCGGAGCTTGCAGTGAGCTGAGATCCGGCCACTGCACGCCAGCCCACTCCAGCCCGGGCGACGGAGCGAGACTCCGTCTCAAAAAAAAAAACAGAAAAAAAAAAAGAATTGAACCTCTATTCTACTAAAAAGGCTTTTTTTCTTTTTTGAGGATTTAAATGTTTTTCTCCTTCCAAGTTTAGGGGTGATGTGATTTTCTTGGGGAACATGAAGGAAAAATCTTATTTTTGTTGTATCTTACCTGTAAAATGACATCCTTTATAGAAACAGCATCACTACTAGACACAGCAACAATAGCAATAGTCTGGATTTGTTTTCTGGGTCTCTAACTCATCAAACACAACCCAAAACATTAATTATATGTATCAGTGTTTTGATTCACCTGCAGATCTTGCAAAAATGGAGGCTCTAAATCAGTAGATTTTGAATGACGCGTGAGATTCTGCATTTCTAACAGACTTGCAGGTGATGCTGACACTGCTGGTCCATGGACCAGACTTTAAGTGGCAAATGTAGCATTATTTCATTTAACCTTCACGCCCATCCCCATCGGCTAGGAATTATTCCACAAATGAGGCCTGAAGTTGGAAAGTTAAGTAAAATTGCCCAAGACCAAAGCGCTCAACAGTGAGGTGGATATTTCAACTCAGGTCTGTAACCCCCCCGCACCTGGTCATCTTTCTGCCACACCACAGTCTAATCAAGGATAAGTGAAAAAACAAGACGCCTAGGACCCCCGGCAAACTTTCTGGGCATCCTTAAACTACACGTGCTCCTGAATTAATCTCAAACAGACCCGCCCACGAGTCACTCTGGAGACTCTGCAGCCAACAAACAGGCAGGAGTTAGTGAAAGGTGAGGCAGCTCGCGCATGGGGCACAGACAGTGAGGAGGCAGTACCCTAAGTGGCCGCCGCTTCCCTAGTCAGTTCTACGGCTTGAGGCTCGCTTTGCCACCTATGAGACGCTCTGGGAACCCTCCGTCCAAGCTTGCAAACCGCCGGGACCTTCCAAGTTTAGGTGCGAGCACATGCGCCCCGACACAGCCGAGTCCAGGAGGCACTCGTGGACATGCGACCCTGGGGCGGTAACCCAAGCCGGGGCCCGGCGGCCGGCTGGACTGAGCTTCCCGCCCAGCCCCGAGGCTCTCTAGAGAAACGAGCGTGCATCCCAAAACCCTGCTTCTCCGGGGGCAGAGGCAGGAACCGGCCACAGAGAGCCGCCACTCCAGGGCGCCCGAGGCGCTGGCCGAGTCTGGTGGGCTCCGGGGGCGGGCAGAGCGTGGGGCGGGGACGGGGCGGGGAGGCCGGGGTCCCGAGAGGGGGAAACCGGAAGGGAACGCCGGGGAGGGGAGGGCTGGGAGCGGCGGTTACAAACCCCACACGCCGAAAACGCGCGCTCTCTCCTCCGGCCGCACTCACTCACCTCCCCCGTACACGCCGCCGCTCATGGCTGCTGCCGGCGCGACCCCTACCCTAAGGGCTAACTGGAGAAGTGACTGCAGTGGCCGCGACTGCGAGTCTCGAGAAGCGATAGCCCCTGACTCCCTTAACTTCCACCGCCACCCCCCTCAGGCAACAAAGCGGCGTCCACACACCCCGGAGCTCAGCTACACTTGCTGGCTCCTCTTATTCAGCCAATCACGAGGGTCCAGGCCTACGTTCAGCAAATCAGAATGCGGCTGCGCCGCATCGCCGCCGCGGCCCAGCTGGTTTAGCCAATCGAAGGCAGCCACGGGGGCGGGGAAAGAGGAAAGCGACAGCAGGACAGATGGTGTTGGGTTGCGGAGCTGAAGCGGGCGGAGCTTCCCGGGTGGGCGAGAGCGTGGGCGGAGGCAGTGGGAGAAGGAGGAGGAAGGCTGGAGGGAAGCATGGGGGCGGGCCTAGGAGGTGCGGCTGGGCGCTGAGGAGCGGCGGGAACCCGGGTAGGGAAAGGTAGACCTCTGGAAATTGAACGTGTGTCTCCACGCTAAGATTCCTGTCCAGTGACTGTGGGGAATGCGGATTTCTTTCTTTTTTTCTTCAGAAAAAGTATTTTAAACTAACTTTTAGGTTGAAGAAATAAAAATTTTGCGCTCCACTTTGGGATAGGGGAATCAGTAAATCAGACAAATTGATAGGATCTTGCAATTTTTAAAATGGTTATTAATAAGTAAAAGAAGAATGAAATGATGCATTATCCCAGCTAAACCTAGGTAGTGCTTTAAAAACGATTTAAAAAATCAATTTCTTTAAAAAAAAAAAAAAAAAAAAAGGACAATTTCAAGCCAGGTGTGGTGGCTCACGCGTCTAATCCCAGCACTTTGGGAGGCCGAGGCGGGTAGATCACGAAGTCAGGAGTTCGAGACCAGCCTGGTCAACACAGTGAAACCCCGTCTCTACTAAACATACGAAAATTAGCTGGGCGTGGTAGCACACACCTGTAGTTCCAGCTACTTGGGAGGCTGAGGCAGGAGAATTGCTTGAACCCAGGAGGTGGAGGTTGCAGTGAGATTGTACCGCTGCACTCCAGCCTGGGCAACAGAGCGAGACTCTGTCTCAAAAACAATAAATAAATAAAAATAAATAAATTTATTTTATCCTGTGAGAGGTATTTAAAACAGCTAATCAATCTTCATTCAAGCAAGCACCCAATCCTAAATATGCATCCTATAAACAGCCTGTCTTAGTCCCCTGTTTCTACCAGCCTAGTCCAGATCACCTTCCTTTATCCCCGGATTACTGCAGCAACTTGTTGCTCTGTCTCTTTGCCACTCTTGATCAACGGAGCTTCATCTGTAAAAACGACCAAACCCAATCAGGACACTCCAGCGCTCAAACCCGTAAGATTGTTGCCTATCCTTATAATTGATAGCAGTTCTTAAGTTGGTATGTCTAGAGTCTAGACATGCAGAGCCTGCTTTTAACCTTAGAAACAATTGACTAAAACCCCATCAGTCTCGGTGGCAGAAAGTGATGAGGCAGTAGTGTGGGAAACAAGGCTAGCGGGAAAACTCTTTCCCATTCACTTGACAATATAATCACAGTATATCTGATCCTTTAGAAAAGCCCTATTAACCCAGTGAGATAATGCGGATGTCAGCAAACTAAGGCACTAGGGCCAAATCATCTTTTGTGTGTGGGGTGGGGAGGGGAGGTGGGGAAAAGGGGAGGCGGGTGGGAAGACTGCCTTTTTTTTTTTTTTTAATGACCTTGAGCTAAGAATGATTATTTCTGTTTTTAAATTATTTTTTAAAAAATTTTAAAGAATAATGTGTGACACGTTGGGCAAGGTGGCTCACACCTGTAATCCCAGCACTTTGGGAGGTCCAAGCGGGAGGATCTTGAGACTAGGAGTTCAAGACCAGCCTGGGCAACACAGGGAGACCACCCACCCCTCTCCGTCTTTACAAAAAAATTTAAAAATTATCTGGGTATGGTGGGACATGCCCCCTAGCTACTCCGGAGACTAGGGTGAGAGGATGGCTTGAGCCCGGGAATGTAAAGCTACAGTAAGCCATGTGATCTCCCCAATGCACTCCAGCCTGGGTGACAAAGCAAGTCCAAGAAAGAGAGAAAGAGAGAGAGAGAAAAAAAACTATACGAAATTCACACTTCAGTGACCTTAAACTAAGTTTTATTAGGACACAGCCCATGCTTATCCATTTATGACTACTTTTGCTCTGTAAGGGTAGAGTTGAGTAGTTGGGAGACAGAGACTATGTAGAGCTATGTGTCCCACTAAACTGGAGAATACATTTATTACTGGACCCTTTACAAGAAAAGTTTGCAAATCTGAGCTAACACATGTGATATAAACAGCATAGCATGCATAAGTACCCTGTGTTAACCGTTGTCCCCATTATTATAGCTGTCACTGTAGACATATATCAAATCCCCAAATATTTCTTCTTCCAATCTGTTTTTATGATGTGTTTGACTAGTAGCTGAAGAGTTATAAAATATTGAGATGCTTTCTAATAATTGAATATTGAAGAGATGCTATTTGTGAGTTTATAATACACAGTTATCCATTTAAATCAATGTAGCATTTAAATGCCAAGTAATTTATATACAGCAAATTAACTAGATTTTGATATCGCTGAACATTGATATCTCTCTTCAATACTATCTCCAACATCTCTCATGTTTGAAGATAATATGTCCTAGAAGTAAAATACCTATCTAGGCTAAGAGAGTAAAATATTTGTTCCACTTGTTCAGCGTTTATCAGAAAACAAAACAGTTCAAGAGGGTTGATGAGGACCACACCCCCTAGCCTCTGGAAAGCCTGAGATGGGACTGTCTCCTCCCCAGATTTAAGACTATCCTGAACTGTGTGCAGAGTAACCACACTGTGCAGGAGAATCGTAAGCACAAAGAAGACGAAAGTCACACTTAGATGATTTTGCTTAAAGTCAGGTTTTGCACCATTTGATAATTTGGAAAAATACTAGACAGGTCATTCTTGTGTTCATTCATTTGTAATTTCAGGTTGGCTTGGTCTCTTGATGTCCCATTGGAACCACGGCTTCATTTAATAATAAGCCATTGAAATGAATTTCAAAGGGAATAAACTTCACAGTACATCTGATGTTTCAGGACAAATCACATGTTGACACAGAAAGAAGTGCACACTTGTGAAGCATTTAATACATTTTAATCAATAAAAAAATGTAATAGGACACTAAGATTATTAGCCCTGAAGTATTGAATTGCTGGAGGATGGGATTATTCAGAAAGAAAATCTATTCAGGCTTCTAAGAGAACTATGTCGGGGGACAGGCATCCTCCACATTAATGGCGTTATTTCCTTTGACTTACAGCATAGCAGTTTGTTTTCTTTGATTCTTCTTTTTCTTTTCTTTTTTTTTTTTTGTTTTTTTTGTGTGTGTGAAACAGAGTCTTGCTCTGTCGCCCAGGCTAGAGTGCAGTAGCATGGTCTAGGCTCACTGCAACCTCCATCTCCCACGTTCAAGTGATTCTCCTGCCTCAGTCTGCCCAGTAGTTGGGATTACGGGCATGTGCCACCACACCCAGCTAATTTTTGTATTTTTAGTAGAGAAGGAGTTTCACCACGTTGGCCAGGCTGGTCTCGAACTCCTGACCTCAAAAGAACTGCCTGCCTCGGCCTCCCAATCTTCCATTCTTAGGAAAACTAGTTGAAAGTACATTAAAACAAAAGTACTAACCCAGCAAAATCTGCTTTATGAAATATAAAATATATGAAGGTTGGGGTTTTTTGAGTAGTGATATTTCTCCCCTGTTGTCTAAAATGTTTAAAGTGTTGGCTCAGCCTATATTAATGTTATCAATAACTAGTCAGATTAAACTGCAACAACAACTCAAGGTGATTGTCTGTTATTTCAGTTCTCAAGGGCACAGCATATCAAAACTATCGATGCTTGCAAATTTTCCCCTGAACCAATATATCAGGTATGTCGACCTAAAAACAAAAGATGTTGAAGTAACAGGTATATAAATTTATCTAGACCACAGTAGGTGCTCAGTGGTTGATTCTGAATCCAGTTTACAAAAATAAAGAGCCTTTCAAAAATCCTTTGTAATAGCCAAGCATCCAGAATTTCCTCTGCGGCCCCGGGTGCAACAATTGTCTTTGCCACATGGGGTCGCTGGTCCTCCATTCTTGGAATGCTGCACCGGGACTTGTGATGCTGGATCCTCTCTCCTTTCTTCACCAGCTCTGTCTGCACTCAAGTTATAGAATTTCAGCAGTTCTTATGAAATGTTACATATCTTGTCCTCTGTCTAAGCTTTTATTAAGTTCAGCATTGAAAAAAATGCAACTGCTATTTATGCAAGCTAGGAAACAAATTCAGAAAATTATCATCCGTCTGTTGGGAAGGAATGACACAGAAACTTATGTACCTTTGGAATTATTTTGTTTCATGCTGCAAAATATATAAAGTTGGCAATAGTAAAAAGCAATTTTCAATATAGACATTTTGTATGTGTATGAGGAGTCATTGTAAGCACCATCCTTTGTGTACTGAAGTTCCAAATGTGTAACACTCATCCGAGCACTACTGAGATAAAAGATAAATACCTGGTATCATATATAGGGTTTTTCAACAATAGAAATATGATCGGTCAGATTCATACATGTTTGCCGTCGGAATAGTAAGAGATCTATCCATTTCAATAATATAACCTAGATATAAAAAGAAGCAAATAAAAGTATGTTTGGTCACAGCTGGTAACTTTATAACACACTAATAGGTTTGCTATAGTATTAACAATGGTCC